TTTCTCATGATGTACTCTGCATATAAGTTAAATAAGCAGGGTGACAATATACAGCCTTGATATACTCCTTTTCCTATTTGGAACCAGTCTGTTGTTCCATGTCCAGTTCTAACTGTTGCTTCCTGACCTGCATGCAGATTTCTCAAGAGGCAGGTCAGGTGGTCTGGTATTCCCATCTCTTTAAGAATTTTCCACAGTTTATTATGATCCACAGAGTCAAAGGTTTTGGCTTAGTCAATAAAACAGAAATAGATGCTTTTTTGGAACTCTCTTGCTTTTTTGATGATCCAGCAGATATTGGCAATTTGATCTCTGGTTCCTCTGCCTTTTCTAAAACCAGCTTGAACATCTGAAGTTTACAGTTCACATATTGCTAAAGCCTGGTTTGCAGAATTTTGGGTATTACTTTACTAGTGTGTGAGATGAATGCAATTGTGTAGTAGTTTGATCAGTCTTTGGCATTACCTTTCACCCACCAGGGAGAACATTATGGAGGTCCTTAGAAAACTAAAAATAGAAGTACCAAGTGATCCAGCAATACCATACCTAGGTGTATATCCAGAGAAAACCAAAATATAAAAAGATACCTGCACCCCAAATGTCATGGCAGCCCTGGGTACAGTAGCAAAGACACAGAAGCAACTTAAGTGTACAAAGACAGATGAATGGATACAGAAGATGGAGTACATATACACAGTGCAGTATTACTCAGAAATAAAAAAGGGTGAAACAATGACATTTCCACTTACAGGGAAGAAAGCAGAGGTGATTACACTAAGTGAAGAAAGTGAGACAGGGAGACAAGCATCACTTCTGGTGAAATCTAAAATGGACACAAATGAACTTCATTTCAAAAGAGAAACAAGTTCACAGACTTAGAAAAGAAACTTGATGTTTACCAAAAAGAAATGTCAGGGGGCAGGGAGTAATTAGGGGGTTCAGATCAATATATACACATTAAAACAGCTGCTGTTTTGTTTAGTCACTCAACTGTATCCAACTCTTTGCAACCCCATGGACTGTAGCCTGCCAGGCTCCTCTGTCCATGGGATTTCCCAGGCAAGAAGACTGGAGTGGGTTGCCATTTCCTTCTCCAGGGGATCTTCCCAACCCAGAGATCGAAATTGTGTCTCCTCAAGTCTTTTACATTGCAGGTGGATTGCTTACCACTGATCCAACAGGGAAGCCATAGAACACGTGCTGAAGGGCTCTTAATAGTCAAAAGTCCAACAGGACTTTAAATGACACCCGTACTCAAGAAATGTCCTGACGTAAACCATCGCAAAAGAATTCCAAACAGAGTCAAGTTTCTAGAAGCCAGTTTCAAGAGGTAAACTGTACTCACAAGGTGTAAAATAATAAAAGCACATGGAAAGATACTCCACATCAATAATTATTAAGTCAATGCCAATCAAAACTTCAATAAGGTATCACCTTACATTAGTCACAATGGCCATCATTGAAAAGATCTACAAAGAATAAATACTGTAGAGAATGTACAGAAAAAGGAATCCTCCTACAATCTTGGTAGGAATGTAAATTAAATGGTGAAGCCACTATGGAAAACAGCATGGAAGCTCCTTGAAACACTAAACACAGAGGTATCCTATGATCCTGAAATCCCATTCCTGGACTCAGGTCCAGAAAAAAAAATCATCATTCAAAATGACACGTGCACCTCAATTTTCAGGGCAACACTATTTACAATAGCCAAGATATAGAATCCACCAAAATGTCCAGTGACAGAAATGTGAAGGCTACGAGGTACATCTATACACTGGCATACTACTCAGCCATAAAACAAAATCAAATAATGATATTGGCAGCAGCATGGATGAACCAAGAAATTATAATTCTATGTGAGGTAAGTCAGAGAGACAAATATGTAATATGTACAGGTGGAACCTATAAATTCATACCAGTAAACTAATGTACCAAACAGACTCACAGCCTGAGAAAACCAAATCCAATTATCAAAAGAAGAGAGGGAAAATATATGCACTAATATATATCAAGTTGATAATATATCAAGTTTTCTGAAGAGAACAGGAAACTCACTGGAAAAATTATAATAACCTATATGAGGAAAAAAGCAGAAAAAGAATAGATACACATCTAGGTATAACTTAATCAAGTTCATACACACCTAAACAAACGAAACAACAGAAATCAACTATGCTCCAATAAAAAATAACAGTTAAATTACAAATTAAACTATCTGAGTTCAGTGTAGGGGTCGCCAGGCAGTGGTGACCCCTACGATTAGACAAGGGATCTGCTATGATATTAATACGACACCAAAGGTTTTCACTCAGCAAAACAGAGAGCAGCAACCCACCCAAAGGTGCCTGACCTCATGTGAAGGCGACAAGGTGAAGAGAAGAAAAAGGACCACAGGTTAATCAGGGCAACACCCTCAATTCAGACATTGGGAATCTCCGAGGGGACAAAACACGCTTCAGGTAAAGAGCAGATATGTGGTCTCCAGGTACAGGATCCTGACCCATGTGGATGGGGTGAAACCCACACAATCCCCAGACCCTGCACCTGGGTTCGCACGACCCTTGGTTAGGGCACCATGTCTCTGCTGGTTGGGCCCTTAAAATGAAACGAGTGAGTTTCTGTAAACTTCTGTGATGGTAAAAAGGAGTGTAGGGTCAGTCTTCTCTCCCCACAATTTTCCCAGAGAAGTCCTCCTCTTCTCCCTTTGGTTCTATGTGATTGCAACTCTTTTTACAGCTGTCATGATAATGTTGAACACACTACCTTGGTTCTGGCAGGCTCAGTCCTTTCTTGTTCCACTGAAATGTTGACAAAACACACACCAGGCGCAGGCCTGGGAGACGAGGCGCAGGTCTGGTCTCTGCTGAGGAGGGGCGGTCGACTGGAAGGAGACCACAGCAGCAACTTCACTTGTTGCCCACTGGCTTTTCACCTGATCCGTGTGCCCTGCAATCAATTCACCAGGTGAACCTGCCTCCCTTCCCACCATGCTCGTGCTGGTGAATTGGAATGATTACCAGGTAGACACCTGAGGAACCTCCAGGAGCCCCAGGGAGGGTGAACCTCGCGGGGGTAAAGAAAAAAACAGGCCACATGCCCGTATAAAGTGAATACCATAAAGCATTAATTCCTAAACACAAGTGAAGCTCTCATGTATTCTTCCCTTTTTCTTAGCTTTGTATGTGTGGTCTCCCCACACATGTGATCCTAACCCATGGAGATGGGGTGAAACTCACACAGTCCCCAGACTACCCACCTGGGGTCACATGTCCCTGCAGTCAGGACACCATGGCTGTGGTCAGTGGGCCCCCTATGTGTAAACAAGCCTGGTCCCTGGGGCCTCCGAGACCCTAGAAAGAAGTGTAGGGACCTTCTCCTCTCCCCACAATTGTCCCTGAGAAGTCAGGCCCTTCCTATTTTCACTTTGATTTTGTGTAATTTTTGCTGGTTTGAAAGCTCGTGTTAGGGTTGAACACACTACCTTGGTTCTGGCAGGCTCTGTCTGTCTTGTCCCGCTGAGGTGCTGAGAAAACAGGAGAGCTGGGCTGAGAGACGAGGGCCAGCTCTGTTCTCTTCGGAGGAGAGAGTCGACTGGAAGGAGACCAGAGCAGCAACCTCACCTGCTGCCCATTGACTTTTTGCCCGATCCCTGTGCCCTGGAACCAATTCACCAGGTGAACCTGCCTCCCTATTAAACCTAAATATGCTGGAACATTGGAATAATTACTAGTTAGCCCACATGAGAAGTCTCAAGGAGCCCCAGGGAAGGTGAACCTGGCAGGGAGAAAGACTACGAACCCTACCACAACACTGACCCTGGGAGGAACATGAAACCCCACCCAGAGAACAGCACGATTACCCAGAGAAGCCCACCTCAGCTCCAGACCCCTGCACCCTGACATTCAGATGCAGGCATGGAGTTTTCCAGGACAGAGGCCAGGCCAGGTCTCTACCCAGGTCTCCATGTCCTAGTGCACAGAGTACAAGATTAGTTTAAATGTTCTCATTGCAGAAAGTACACGGTCTCATCTAAACATCAGTGTAGACAAGACTTGGAGAGGTCTAAACCTACCATGTAGACAGAACTTGGTCAGGTTCAAACTAGTTTAGGGCTGGCCTCCCAGGAGGCACAGGTCACACACATGCAGAGTCTCTCATTGTTGGATGGGGGCTCACCTTCCTATGGGAGCAAGAATGTAGATTTCTTGAAAAAGAAACCATCACTGGGCTCCACACTTCACACACATCAGGAAACTGAAAGAATCTGTGTCATTAAACATTTCAACAGGCAAACAACGTTACCAATTTCTGTGGCCACATGATGGTCAGGTCCAGGGGAGATCCAGGAACTTCTCAGAGTGCAACCCAGTGTCCTGTAAAGACAGACAGGAAGTGGCCTGGATCCAGCACCCCAGGCTTTCAGCAGGAGGTGCTGCTGCTGCTAAGTAGCTTCAGTCGTGTCCGACTCTGTGTGATCCCACAGACGGCAGCCCACCAGGCTCCTCCGTCCCTGGGATTCTCCAGGCAACAATACTGGAGTGGGTTGCCATTTCCTCCTCCAACGCATGCACACATGCTAAGTCGCTTCAGTCGTGTCCGACTCTGTACAATCCCACAGACAGCAACCCATCAGGTTCCTCCATCCACGGGATTCTCTAGGCTAGAATACTGGAGTGGGTTGCCATTTCCTTCTCTGAGCAGGAGATGATCACACTGGAAACATCTTGGAAAAATACATTCTTTATCAGTATAAAAACATATTGTTGAAACTGCAAGCATATTAACTATTATTTGCAAACCTAAAATATTCTTAAAATCTTGATCTTTGTGCACCCTGATCTTTGAGGTTTCTATTGTTTCTTTTGGTTCAGATTTTCTAGGCAGAAGCAAGCCATCATTTCCAACTATTCTTGCTTACAAGTTTGGGTAGATACTTTTACTGGATGGATTGAGGCTTTCCCCTGTTGTAGTGAATAAAGATTTTAATATCCTCAGGTTTGGGCTGCCACGGAGCCTTCAGAGTGACAATGGCTCCGCCTTTAAAGCTGCTGTAACTCAGGGGGTGTCTAAAGCTCTAGGAATAGAGTATCACTTACACTGCTCCTGGAGACCCCAATCCTCAGGAAAGGTTGAAAAAGCTAATGACATTATCAAAAGACATCTGCGCAAATTAACTCAAGAAACGCAGGACAACTGGATTAAAGTCCTACCCATAGCTTTAATGAGGGCTCGAACTGCCCCCAAAAAGGAGGGGCTGTCCCCCTTTGAATGTATTTATGGAAGGCCTTTCTTACGCAC